ATGTATGCAGCAAAGCAGCTGGTGCAAACCCGTCACTAGCAGGTGCCTCTTCCTGTACCACCTCCCATTTCACACACATACTTACCTCAACCCCCCACCACCACAACCAATGAAGCTGCCTTCGACAGCTACTGCAGAGCGTGTGGGAGGTGCAGACAGCTGATAGAATTTCAACAGCTAGGGAAGGACGAGGTTCTTTGAGTGTGTGTTCTGCAACCACAGACCAGCGGAAGATGACAGAAGCTTACTCAGGTCAGTCATTATATATGCTGACTTGATATGCACACAGGCAGGCACACAGAAGCACATTTCTTCAGAGGCCTAACTTGTTGAGATAATTGGTTTTTATATATTTCAAATGACAGGCTAAATAGTGGTTGAGTGCAAAAGGATATAATTATACTACTGTACTCTTTTAAATAAACTGGGTGTTGGTCACAGTTGATTCTATCCATAACTATGCAAGCCTGAACTGCTTCAAGTGTGAAATGTAATCAAAGTCGCAATAAATCACTTAAAAAATATCTTTTGTTGTCTGGCAACAGTGATGTAATCGTACAATCTGCAAGCGAGTTTGAAAATGCTGATATTGTCAGGATTCTCCCATTTGACGAACAGAAGAACCATGCCTGAGTTATTACACTGAGTTATGACTAATTGGCCACTTTCCAACATGTGGGTTAGGCATTAGAAGGTGATATTGACTGTGTAAAGTCACTAACATTGCTCAATATATTTGCAACCCAAGGTTATGTATTCCAACAATCCATTTAGAGTGTATGAGAGTGTTTCCAATGACTCAAACCCTCACCCAAACATGAAGACTAAACCAATGTTAAATCTTAAACTAAAGAAACAGAAGTGTAAGAAAATGGTCTATCAATTCCAATGCTTACATCTGCCTCTATGGTTTCTATCACTTTACAAACCAACCACTTCACAGGTCCCAATACAAATCCGTTCACAAAGACATCAGGCCTGCATTGTCAATGTGGGTTGTGCGTCCACATTTCAGTTTCACTTTATTGCTTTTGTTTACTGTCATCAGAGAATCATGCGACAGTCCTCAAATGACACATTTCTGCATGTTCAATTAGTCAAGCTTCTTCTTCTTCTTTCATGATCATTCGTCTCACACTGTAAGCGGAAGGCATGTGAAATCTCTATCTGGGATGAGAGACAATACTGAGGACTTCAAAGAGGAAAATGGGTGTAATGTTCACATCCTCACAATTGAAGCACAACAGAAAACTTTCCCTAGATACTAAATGATTATTGAATTATGTCAGAACTGAAAATATTTGTGCCCAAATACTTAGGTTTCTGATGATTACAATAATACTTTATCATTTGGGATCACATGGCAACACATCAAATGTGCTTCTTCTTTAATGAACTGGGAAAACATGTGGTTAGAATTAAACTAATTTGTGTCATTTGAGATGATTTCCAAAACATATATTGGTGATATTCAAAGTAAGTCTGAGACAGACCACATGTTGAAAAGCTAATCATTCAATTACTCATATTCTATTCATTAAGCCCAACATCAATAGCAGTTCATTTACAGTAGAAACTGTAAAGTGGTAGCATGACAACTGTAGTGAAATGGGTTCAAAAATATCCAAGTCTGTTTCATCTTTCCCATCTGCAAAGAATCACTGCAGAATATCCCAGAGGCTGCTAAACAAAACCCAGCTAACCTTAAAACACCCTCAATCTGACCCCATGACATGCCACTTCCTAAGCTTTGCCTTCCAGCTGTTTCCTTCATAATCATGATGTTATAAGCAGCATGCAGGCACGTGCAACTCATGCCTTATATCAACAAAACTGTCCCTGGTCACCAATTAATCAGGAAACTACAAATGTCAACGTAACTCTGTTATTCATTGGAATCATTGTGTAAGTACATTTTTGACAATACAAGCCATTTATTAGCCACATATTGCTTATGAATTAGATAGGAATATTTGAGTAGGCAACCTAAATGTATAAAGGCATTCTAATGCAGAAGCTTATAACACAGAATAGAGCAAATGTATTTTGTAAAGCTCAATATGGCATGGGGTAAAATGGTGTTACTGTGTATCACTCAAAAATGCAGTGGTTCAAAATGTGTGTAGGCAACATAGTTGAATACAAAATGTAAAACTCACAATGTTTAAATTGTTACAATAGTCTTTAAAATATATTTTATAATAGTACTATTTGTTGCTCCTTTCTTTGGAAAAACAAACCTAGTCTTATTTTGTGTGTCTTTGTATGCACCATTTACAGCAAAGGTGTAAACCTACTTGGTAATAAAACCAATTCTGATTATAAGGGAATTGCAAATTAACTAAGAAGTTGTGAATTACATAAAACTTGATTATTGTGAACAACCTAAAAATGGCGACCATGTTATCCAAATGTACATGTGCAAAGTTAGCGATGTTGGGAAGAAAGTGACTGAAGACGAAATTATTATGTAGGCCTAATTAAGTGTCTTTCAAATGTTTGAAACGGTACCATGTAACACCCAGGAACACTTTGTCGTGTTTTAAAAGCTTAGCTAAGTTTGATAAGGAGTCTGTGTTTCATCCAACAGACACCGGGCTCACCTCTGAAGTCTCCTCATCTTCTTCAGCCCAGCAATGGCTCCAGCTCTGACTGTGTTTGATAAGCCAACGAGGCGGCAATGTGTTGCGCTTCTTTGGGCAAAACTGCTTAAATTAACACTGCTAAATAGGACTTTTTATTTTAGAAATTGCTAGCCGGCGGACTGTTGAGTTGCTCGCACGTGGCGTTAGCCAAACCTCCACTTTGGAAAAGCACAGGATTCAAAAAGGTGTCGTGACGCTCCCACACTGAGGAAGAGGAGGAGGAGGAAGAGGAGGGGGAGGAGGAGGGGATGGATGGAGAGGTCGACCGTGATGGTGTCCATGATAATTTAACTAGTTTTTTTATCCTTAACTATCTTTTGTTCCCCCTTTGCGAGTGGAAATGTCGACGTTTTAGCGTTGTTAACAGTCCACATATAAGTGGTCGCTGTCAGTTCAGGACCACCATGAGCAAAAGGAACCCCGGAGGACTACTTTACAGCGACGCGCATTAACATTTAACCCAAAAAACTACGAGAAAGTACCAAGACATGTGCTGTTTAGCATGCAAACTAACAGGAAACTAAGTGTTTGGCAAGTAATGGAGTTATTAGTACCAGGAAGATACGCACTGACACACAAGGCGTTGTGTCATCAGACAGCTGAGGCGAGGCACTGACTGTCAGCTATTTGACAGCTTATTTTCTGAATGAAATTGAACCCCTCGAGGAAGAAACCTCTCTGAAAAATCACACGAACAAGTGTTGTTTCTTACCTGAAATGGACCCCAAAAGACAACTCCAGTCGCCAATGTAGAGAGTGTGTTTTCGGCCAACTTGTGACTGTGTTGTTAGTTGTACTCCTGCTGGCGACCACGGCGCAGCGGCTCTCCACCGCTGCTGCTGCTGACGTGCCTGTGATAACATGCATTTGCATATTAGTAACCTCCTCCCTGATTGGTCCACAGACGATTTGGCACTTTTTCACCTTTCTGTTTGGAATTAAAAAGCGGTTCCAGCCTCACTCACGTTTTGGTAGGGTCCAGCTCCAAATCAGCCGCAGAAAGTGTTTGATCAAATCATGCTGTTTCACGCGTAAAGTCCATGGTAAAGTCCCTATGTTGACAGAGTGCATAAGATGGCCGCGTCCAAGCCAGAGCCAATCAGGAGAGGTTTTACTTTCGCACATGCACCGGAGTATCTCTTCAATGCAAGAATGACAGCTGCTCTCCACTGTGGGGCAATACCGACCTCTAGTGGCTGATCGAGAGGCATGCTTCTCTAAATCAGAATCAAAATCGATGTTATTACCAAGTAGGTTTACACATACGAGGAATTTGCTTTGGTGTAAATGGTATATACAAAGAAACAGAAAGGAGCAAAACATGTTTTTATTATAAAAACATAAATACAAAATAATTCATAATAATTTGATCGAATATATTTTATCATCAAAAACATGTGCATGCCTTTTATTTAATACGTTTGTCTACTAACTTTATTTTTGCCGTTGTATCTGGACTGTCCCTTTGCAGTAAACTATAAATTCCCCCGCTGTAATACTTCCAAATTGACAAGTATATATAGTCATTTAACATATTCAGAATTATCTGTATATATGTACAGGTACGTGTCTATTCTAAAAATATTATTATTATCATCCTTGTGTTATCGCTTACCCTTCCTCCTATTATGTTTTTCACTCGTATTGCTGTTGCTGCTATGACACCTGCATTTATAAAGGTTTGGCTCATCTTGTATTATCTTATCTAAGTAGTGCACAGTATAATACAGAAAATACTTTGATGTCCTTTGCCAGTTACCCTAATCATTCTGCAATGACTTCTCTGTTTGGCCCACTGTGTATTGAGTTTGACACCCCTGCCCTAAACCATTCAATGCTTTATAAACCAGCAGCAGTATTTTTAAAAATCAATTCTGACAGATGAGAGCCAGTGTTAAGCCCTCAGAACTGGAGTGATACGTAGTGACCCATCTGCTGACCGTACACTGGCATGGCTTGTTGGCTAACTGGTGGCATCATGTCCTGATGTACCTTTTTTTTTTAAGGTAATTGTGAGATATAGTTGAACATGATTCTGTGACAGGAGTGACAAACTGATTTTAGTAGATTAAGATCATGTACCAATGTACTACGTTGAAAACAAAAAAATTGTACATAGCCCCCTCCACCAGAATGATCAGAGCATGTTTGAGTGATTTGTATATGATTAGCATCTGATTGGGAGTTTGTCACTAATGCAGGGAAAAAAACTTTTACAAACAAGATCTTAATTTCGAGAAAGCTCTGTAAAAAATCATTGCTCTGCATCACCTTCTTTACATACAGACAAGTACAACATGTATGATGATCCCTCCCAATGTGCGATACCTCCAACAACAAAATCAAAAACAAGACTTCGTTTTTTACAATTTTATTGATTTCAGAGAAAAGCATTTTAAACCCATATCTATGCAGTAGGCTAATGTGTTTTACAAACTGGAGCAGGAACGGGTCCATATTGAACACATTACAACTCACACTTTTGAAGATGCCGTCAGCCAAAATGTCTGTGTGGAGTTCACTGACATTTGGTTACACCCTTTCCTTACGCAGACGCTATAAATAGATCAGTTCGTAGTAAGGTTTCAGCACCATGTCTGCTCATCTTGTATAGCCACATCCTCCTTAAAAGTCCTATCCCTTTCCTACATTCTTAGCTTTCTATTATTTGCATATTGAAAGGAGCTGGGCAATATTACCAAAACTGAAGCAAGAGCCCTCTACAGATGAAGACATTTGTCCGACACAACAGAAATCGTGTTATCTTGTAGTTGGACAGAATACCAATATATATGTATCCTTTTCCTTCATGTGGGAATCTGGTGGGACACAGGCAGTAACTTATTTATTCTTATGACAAAACGAGCTTAACATTTGCAAAGAAAACCCAAAGAAAATCCAAGCAGAAAGGTCTCTATATGCTCATCACAGCATCCATTATTTACACATCACACCTTTAATAACCAACAGCCAAAAAGGTACATAAACATTCAAAAATCAGACAAAATAAAATACATGAGCTTACTTTATCTAGCATCTCATTTCAAACCCATAGGTGGCCTGCTCTGCTTTATATATTAGGAAACTATGTAAGACAATTGTTTACAGAGTGGGATTAAGAAGAAATCAATATCCAATAAGAAACAAATATAAAACATATGGTGTAGATCTAGTTGGATGACAGGAGGGCATTTCATTCACACAGCTGTGACTGACAACATTCCAAGTCTGACAAATAAACAGTCCTGAGCCAGTGGAGGAGATCACGGAGTCCACTCTACTTGAACGCTTTACTCGTACTTTTCAGCTCCTTTTTGGGACAGTATGTTGTATCGCCTAGCCCAACATGTGCATGGATCTGAAAATCTAAAATTGAGAAAGCTCTTTGATTGCATCGCAGCCTAAAATGATGTTGCCGAGACATCCATTTGCCATCGTCGATTTACATATAATACAAACGTTGTTTCCTTATTCTAAAGCCGTTTGAGGAGATGCCTACGAAGCTTTTAAAGCCGAGCAATAACGTGGAGGTTTAACAGAAAGTTCTCCCAACTGTCGCGAGGATCCAGTTCCCTTGAACAGCAGGTAAGCCGGTGGCGTGGCATCTCATGCGTGTGGCTCCCCCTGGTGGCAGCTTCAGCTCGGAGGAGGACCGTCGTCTTTGCTGAAGGGCTGCGTGGAGCCGGGCTTCACCCAGGACAGACCCGACACCTGCGCGCCCTTGTGGTGATCGTCAGGCCGTCTCTACAGGGACAAAGGCAGATGAGCAGTTAAGGAACAGCTTGAACAATCAAAATCTAAAATTAGCTCTCCACTTTGAATATAGTATGTCATATTTTACTTTATCCTCACGTATTTATATTTAGTGTAAATATTGTCTTTATTTCAATAGCTTTAATAATAGTACTCCTTTTTGCTATGTATTCTTCTGTCTGTGTCTTTGTATGCACCATTTATACCAATGCAAATTCCTTTTATGTGTTTGTATTTAGTTTAAAAATAAATGCTCAGACTGCACTCTTCAAATCCCAATCAAAACAAAAAGTCTAAAACCGAAAGTAGTTTGGTTTTTTTAAGGCCCCAAACCTTCCTGCTTTTCCAGAATCTATTTAAAAACATTTGATTTGTATACTTCTGCTCCTCTTGCAGAATATACTGTTATTCCAATGTTGATTTATAAATATCTTTTCTAATATTTTTATGAATGTTCTTGTTTTATTTTAGCGGTAAATTGTTTTGTAAACCCATTTAAATTGCCCTTGTGTAAAGTGCTTTATAGATAAATAAACCTAGACAGAATACTTACTTTATGTGTGAACATCCGCTCTTTTGCATCCTCATGAACAGCTGGGTTCCATGGAGAAAAGCTAAGTAAACAAGAGTGGCGCTGTGAGTGTGAGAGCATTTTTCCCTTCAGAGTTTCATCACACTCCATTATTGAAGCAGTGCAAAGGACACACACACACACACACACGTTAAAAATGAGGACAGTTTACAAACCTTATTGCGTAGGGATCATCTACCTTGGGCTGGTCGAAAAGATGACTGTTGCATAGTTTTACACTATCCACCACTTTGCTTTTGAATAACTGCACATCCTTTTCATATCTGAAACCAAAAGTAAAAACAGTTGTGAGACATTGGTTTGAACTCAAATCTCAACGGAATCTAAAGGCTAGAAAAAAAATTAAACATTATAATAAACTGGGTAATTCCTCGTCACAAAGGATGCTTCAAAGGATGCTTTTTTTAAAGATAATAAATGTTTTGAATTATTTGTGAATTACATGTGCAAAGGCATGTACACAATATTTATTACATTTCTGTCTTATTTCACTTAATAGAGTAAAAGGGAATTAAAAAAAATAGTGATGGATTCGCTAAACAAAAAAGGCAGATATTGTATAGTGTAAAACTTACAAAAATAAATCCTCTGATGTGTCCCACGCACTACTGAGTCAGTGACGCTTTTTGATGGTTCAACTCTTAAGAATAAAAACGGATATATAATAATAAATGCGCTTGGACACTCACAGCACAGCAGCCTCTGGGTTGAGGGGTTCTGTGGTGTTGATCTTGTAGAAAATGGTACGTGCGTACATCAGGACTTGCCAGATGTGGTTGTGATTCCGTCTACGAAAACAAAACATTAGCAGTTTTAGTCAGGAAATACGAGAGCATAAAAAATGCTTTATTAATGTGATGAATCTAAGAAAACGTAACAGTTAATACTGCACTATTACAGAATGGTTCAAACTAAAACTGGCATTTTTTGTAATTTGTATTTTCTTCTCAAAAGCTGGTTTCTTTTCAGCCTAATTCTGTTTGGGCCAAAGGATGACTTTTCAGTGTGCAGCTAAATAAGCTTAAACCTTAACCAGAGTTAATTTCCCAATAGACAAACTGACCAAGCCTGGCTGTCAGCGGGGGGTTAAGGTAGTGTGTGAGGGGGGTGGCATTTAGTAAAGCAGAATGAATCATTTATGTTTCACTGAAACATTTATGTATGAAGAAGAAAGGTGAGTTAATTGCATCGACATAAAGAGGACAGAGCGTACCTCCATTTGGTAAAAGCTCTCCTGACATCAAGCTCTCCAGACACGGGGTCAACGAGAGGATGGAAGACTGGGATGTCAAAAACTAATTTCTGGAACAAAACAAGGAGAGGGTTAGGGTTTGCCTTTTTTAAAACAAATGGTATCACTATTCTGCAATACGAAGGCATGCTATACAGAGGTATCAGGGTATCTGCAGGAATCCTGAAGTCAGATGTAAAACCTTTTAAGACCTTTTTTAAGATCCTTTCCGTACATTTTAAGACCTCATCGCCACTTGGAGTTCTAACCGGTTACCTTGGCGACACACTTTACCTCACATTGACTATATACAGTATTGATTGTCCTTCCTCCTTATCTTCCAACCATTTGGACGCAGACTTGCATTTCCCCATAACGATGTTGTTTAACAACCGGCGTAAACGGAGCTTCGTGCTATCAAGCAGTGAGCGTGCGATGTCCTGTTCAGATGACACATCCAACGGGATGCCATAAATAAACTACACAGAATCACACTACACACCTACGCAATGATTACATTCAGGCAGACTGTAGAATACAACCTCTTTGGACCATTTATATACTTATTGAAAACAAGCTACAAAATGTAATGCCTTTTTGAAAATGCAGTTTAATACTTTTAATAGCCTTAATTTTCGCTAAATTGATTTATCAACTTTTGATACTTCTTAAGACCCCACAGTCATCCGTCAGTTATTTTTATTGTATCCATAACATTGAATACAACTGAGCACTTTCTCATATGACCATTTCAAATCATCACCAAATGCTAAAATATATGATCGGATGCACAAAATAACCCTTTTCCTGCTAGAACTTTAACTACATTGCAATGGTTTTTTGTGTTTATAGCCGAAAACAAATAATACGAGGACAGTTAACTTACAGGACACTCTCCATCTGGATAGTTATCTGGAATATACACAGTGAATTTGAAGACTCCATCCTGGTACAAGCCATGTCTGATGAAGATGACCCCAAACCACACTAAACAGTGAGACAATTGTATTTTAGTTGCACGTATTGAATCCAAAAGTAGCCACATTGTATTAATGTATATGTAACACACATTAAGTACAGAGTCTTACTTAGTGCTGATTTGTAGGATGGCTGGACATAAATACCAGGGAGTTTCTGCTTGATCACTAGTGTGCTGCAGGTCACATGGCAGGAAGTCAGAATGAAAAAAAGAGAGAAAGAAATTAATTTCTTCTTATGTACCAAAACTAAAATGATACTTTGAACCCAATTCAGTACAGACAACAGTTTAGTGTTTTAAAATCTAGTGTTGTCAGCATATTTTACGGATTATAAAAAAATAAAAAACACGATATCAGTTCCAAGTGAATAACACAAACACACTGAACTTTAATTTAAAAAGTAGTCCATTACTTACAACTCAGCCAGCAGAGAGTACTCCAAATAAAATGGGCCATATGAGGCGTGTGTGCCATTGGCTGACTGGGTGGGGGTGCCCATTGACACAGGCTTTGTGATGGGTGCTGCATTCTTAGGGATGGGTGGAAGCTGCTTTTTGCCAAAGGGCAGCCGGGCTGGGCTGGATCTCTGCTCCACGTGCCCGCTGTGTTCCTCACCTTCAGCTCTCTGTTGTCGAGTGAAAACATGAGGAATCTCAACACATCAGCTGGGAAAAATCTACAATAAAAACATAGCTATATGAAAAAGCTAAAGAAGGTAAAGTCTTGAAAACCTGAGTAGAGAAGGCTACTGTTTATGAGCCATTATGCAATCTCAAGAGTAGGCCAGGGGTAGAAACCGTGTACTGTGACCAACCTGTATCAGGAAGCAGCGTCTAGACACGGGTCAGCACGTTGGAGTACAGAGCTGTCATTGTATCTTACTGATTCTGATGAGTAGCTACAGTACCATTGTACACATTGAGGGCACAGCAGCACGAATACATTTAGCTGACGCTTTCATCCAAAGCGACTTACAATAAGTGCATTCGACCAAGAAGATACAAACTTGGAGAAAACAGAATCATAAGTACAGCAGGTTTCATAGAGCCAGCACATTTCAAGTGCTACTCCATGCCAGGAAGTCATCAGGAAGCTACGCTGCTGATGACTTCCACAAGTATTTCAGGAATGTTTGCAGTGACTTGGAACAGATTTAGCCTGCACATTCAATGAAGTCCGACTTGACTACATAATGTACAAATGTAACTGTGACTAGGTAGAAGGAAATGAACTCACACCCATGCTCAAAGCACATTGTTGGCCTCCTCCCTACCTCAGCCGGGTTACACCAGCATGCTAGAGAGTACCTCTCCTACCCTTTGTTTGTGGTAATTCAGTCTAGGGCTATCCAAATGTAAAACTGGACACAAGTAATGCTTACTCTAAATATACACAGAGAGAGAGAGTGGATTATAGTCAATACAGTTTTCAGTTCTTTCTTGATTTTAAATAAAAAAGCCAATTTCCAAAAGTGAATGATGTATTTCCAAAAACAAGTATGATAAGTATGAGTCTAGTCTAGTCTAGTTGAAGACCACACCCTCTACTGAATTATGAAGACATCCTGTTAACTGAGACACTGAAAACATGTGCAAACGGGTTCAGGAATGGAAACCTCTATTGCATAAAAAGGTACTGAATTTAAAAGATTAGCCAGCTTTTTAAACTGGAAAGATAATTGAGGCTGACTCATATTCTTTCTATGTTGAAATGTTTAGTGACACTGATATTCTGGGGAGATATATGCTCAACTCTATGGCATACAATTAGTCAATGTAATCTCCCCTGGTTTTTCAACATACAAACTACATATAATGGCATAACACCTTTAAAAAGGACTCCTCCAATCACGCCAGCAGACATAAAATCAACTGAAGATGAATACATGTTAATCAGGACTGAACAACCAGTCATTTGAACATTATAATTCAATGTGTTAAACCTTACCTTACGACTTGTATTGGCAGACATGCTCCAGAAGGGGTTTAGGTTCATTACTCATTCAGAGGTTCAGATTGGTTTCCCTCTTTCTAAGTAGGTCCCACGACAAGTGCTGTCTGGGCCATGCGCTGCTGTGATGAGAGCAATACAAATGAAAACACAATGGCTTAAGACAGGATGACTTGCAGTCAAATCACACAGCTTTGCACCACAACATTATTTATTTTGGAAAGACATTAAACTGATATGTATAACTGGCTTAATACTCAGTTTATTCAAGGCAGTATGCACATGTCTGTGGTTGAACTTAAGTCAGTCTGGTTTTCAAGCAGATATTATTTTATGGACTTCTCATACGGTTACTTTAATGTTGTTCCTCGTTGTGTTGTTGTTGTGTGTTACTCTTTTCTCTCTAGATTGTTATCATAGTGTTCACTTTGTATCCGGGTTTTACAGAATAATTTCAACAAATGTTGATTGAACTCTATCCTTAATGTTAGTATGTTATTAGTAATATAATTATGTTGGTAACCCAATTTCCTGTCTTGTTTGTAAAATAATTCAAATCTAATGTCATCTAGCTAAGAACATAGCAATATGGGGTGCAGCTTGACAATAAACATCACAGTATTGTAACGTTAAGTAGTGAAAGATTACAAAGTGAGAAATGTTTACAGCTAACAGTTAGGATCTGAAACGAGGGACTGTGTGGGATAGCTTAGCTTCATGCTAACTTGCCTGCTTCATGAAGTATGCTAACAGCTGTTTCGTTGACGACGTTGAAAAAACTACTTAACAAATAGTAAGGCTGAAATACTGTTACTTTACTCTTTTAATGTTGTTCCTCGTTTTGTTGTTTTCTGTTACTATTTCCTCTAGATTTGCATCATAGTGTTCACTTTACTGTTTGTGTCAGTTTTTTACAGAATATTTCCCACAAATGTTGATGGTACTGTCTTGTTTATTTTTCTAGTTTTAATTCAAACAATCTTATATCATCTTGCTAACACCACAGACATAAATGGATGCAGCTTAACAATGAAAGGTTACAAAGTGAACAGTGTTTAGAGCTGACACAGTTAAGATCTGAAATGAGAGATTGTTTGGGATAGCTTAGCTTCATGCTAACTGGTCTAGCTCTTGTATTGTTGTCGACGTGACGAAAGTATATCATGTACAATTTATAGACTGTCCTGGGCTGTCAACTCTACAGAATCGTGTTTTAATTCCATTAAAACACGGTTATCTATTTATTACGTGGCATTTCTGACAGGATTTCGTGTAATTTGCTACATTAGTGCTAACATTAGCAAACGTAAGGACTTACGGTAGGCAATTCAACGAAATAACCAGCCAACTGACAACTGGGAATCTGACTAAAAAGTATTTTAAAGCGTACTACTGGTTAATGTTAAAGTCCACACACTGACACTGTCTCACCTGCTTTCATTTACTCACTTAAGGTTATATATAGCATTAGCGTAAATGCTACATTTGGCAACAACAACTTGACTATTCCTATAACTTTAGTCCTTGTAAATATGAAACATTCGTGATGTAACTCACCGTTTTTGCTAGAAAACTGTAAAAGTCCCTTTAGCAAAGATGTTAACGTGTTTCCTGCTATAAATGTTGCATAAACTGCTCAGCTGCTCGCCATTCCTTTGGCTAAGAAGCTAACGCTAGCTAAATAATTTGACAGACACAGAAACCGGAGTTCAATCTAACGTAATGAAGGGCGTTTCGGTGCAGGAGTCCGGAATCTGATTGGTCAACACGATAATCGTTCTCGCATTTGGTTGGCTAAGGCGTGTGTCACGTGAAGAGAAAATAGTATGTTGAGGGAAAATAGCTGATGAAACTATTGCTGTCAATCAAACAAACGGTAAGAACAGTTTGTTTTCTTTTGTGTTGAGAAAGAAAGAAAGAAAGAAAGAAAGAGTCAACTGCAAGAAATATATCATTTTAAAAGCAGTTTGTCGACTAGATTATGTTATTGATTACACTTGGGTCTCTTTCTACTATGATATGCCAAATATCTGCTTTAAAAAAACGTCTATTATGTATCGTCTATCACCCTGTGGCCATCCTGTCGTGTTGACCACGTTTTAATTCATTTGCTAAGAGAAAGCCAATGTAATTCAAAGTCTGTGTCTACTTGCATCTAGCTACCTGATCAATTTCCCCTCATTTGTATTGACCAGTTTCTTAACCTCTCTTCTTCTTCCTACCTTGCTATTTCCCTGGGATGAGCCACCCATCAAAATACTTAACTTTATCTTAAAGTCCAAAGTAGGATATCTTAGCTTTCAAAGAGGGTTTTTGTTGAAAATGTAAATTATTTTAGCTTCCAGATCATGTGCTTTCCAAATGTTTTTTAATAAGAGCTTTATACATAGAATACATATTCTAGTATAGAACAGTCAGTCAGTCTTTCTGGTGGCACATTTTTAGTTTTGTTTTTACATATCATTTCATACTGTTCATTATCTATGTAGTTTGTTTACAGAGGTAAGTCCCCCAAAGAAAGGCACCCTGATAAACGTGAAAATAATACTCTTGTGTTACCTTCATTTGAATGTTTCAGTGTACTGCACAGGAAGAGTCCCTCGAGGGTAGACACATCCAAGCCATCTGTGTCACACATTTCTTTAGTTTTGACCACGCTTCATTGGCAGTTCATCCTGCTGATTGATTGATTTTCTAACAATTACCCCTAATTATTTTTTCTGGGTGAGAAAAAAAACTAATTTAATGCATGGGTGGTTGCATTAATTGGGAGGAATGACATTGTCCAAGTTTCAGAGTAAATACAAATGATTGACTCTATTATTGTTATCTGATTGTATATTGTCCCGAGTACACTTCACTGACAAAGGTAATTAGTGTCCTGCTTCTCTAGTGGGGCGCGGAACAACACAAGGTCACCATCACTCTTTTGACATGTACAAATCAAAGACCACCTCAAAACAAATAAGTTTATGCCTGCTTTGCCTTCATCGACTTTGAGATAAACTGTGTGACACAAACAAGGGTGCAAATATCCACACCATTGCTTTCGTAATGAGTTTTTTGTCTTTGCCATTGATTCTATATCTAATCAGCTATTGTGACCTTGTTTGGTCAAACAAATATACTAATGAATGTAATTAATGTATGGAGATTAGATTAACTAATTGAATATGTGACTCGCTGGAACTGGAGTTTCTTTTATGCTGGAAATGTTACATCAACTTTAATAGGAGGAAGGTCAAATAGTATACCCTTTCTTGGCTTTAAGTTTATTTCAATTAAATATGTTTGTGTGGAAAGATACAAAAATAAATCTAAGGTGCAGCTGAGAGCTACGATAAATACAACGAATCTAGTGCACACATTTAAATAGTAAGCATCATATCAGCATGAGATCTTTTTATATTTGCGATGTAGATCAGTGATGTTTTATCGTCTTATTGTTCCTGTCGCAAAGATTTATATAGTGTGGTTCCAGCAGCAGCATTTTCCAGCTACATGCCGTCAGCCAGAATTCAAATGTAACATGAAATATGTTCTCCTCTGTCGGTCTATTTCTTCAGAGAATTTTAGTCCCACTGATTCAGGTCTACAATTTGGTTTAAATGACAGTTAAAAATTACAATTGGCAGTCCCTGGTGAAACCTGTCTTGACAGCGCAGACATAAAAAAGTGGGAAAAAAATGACTCCGCGTCCAGATAATATCTAATAACAATGTTAGTTTGAATGAAGAAAGCCAAATCTAGATTCAAATGTAATATTCATTTTGGAAATATGAACAACTGGGGAGTAAAGGATACAAAAAAGACATCAGGCAAATCCTTCATATAGCAATAGTCTTTCCTTATCCCTGAGGCTATGGCCTGGCTAAAACCTCAATGCAGCAATTATTTGCTGTAATGACTGCAGTTCAAATAAGCCTGGAGATTTTATTAAACCAAATGAGAGAATCATCTGTGTATTATCACCTTGTGATTGACAGTGACAAGTGTTGGGCCGACTGGGATGTGAGCATGATGAAGAAGCTCTTGGCAAAGCTCTCGATAATGTTACCCCGATAAAGTTCCCTGGAATACCTCAGCCAACAAATGGAGAGGGAAAGCTCCACGCATATTAATACCAATTGTCAGATCCTTCCAGTGGGGGAGAGGGGTAATCTGGCAGGCTTCCCCCCTCTATTCACTGAGTGGCATTTTACACAACTAATGAAAAAGAAATCCATTGTGCTGATCATATGCATAGATTTAACTCTAATATAACGATGAAATCGAAATATTCATAATAAAAGGAAAGGTCACTCGCTGCTGCAGCTAAGCTTCCTAAGCTGCAATCTTTGCAATAGCAGTTGTCAGGTTACAGCGATAAAACAGGGAAAAAAGGGAAAGACGTGAAGTTTTAACCCCGCAGAGGCCGAGAGGTGAGACACTGCAACCAAACTACTACTTCATATTGTACATTGATCATGTATTTATCTCCCTCCTCTAACAAACAGTGCAGAGTTCGGTTCAAAGATGGATCCGAGGTCAGTCTCCTCCAGCGTCCAATGGAGAGGTTAAAGGTCAGCCACATTTGTGATTTACATAGTCCTCTCTGTGACGTGCAGTACCAAAGCTAGTGTCTACATTCTTCAGGGATTTGTCTATTCTAGTTAATAAAATACATGGAAATATGAACAGCCGCGTCTCCTCTCTCCAGCTCTCCCATCCTGCCTATCTCCATATGTAGGTCACCTGGGCTTCTGAGGCATATGAGCATCGGAGTACAGGGCTGGAGAGAGTCATATCTCACCTCTGAACAACATTCACAGCATTATTATTGCCCGCTGCGACTTCCACACTGAGCCCCGTCTTCATATGCATCATACATTGGCATTTATTAGTGCCATGCACTAAGTACAGGCCATGTTATTGAATTTGAATATCAGCTCCTAGCCACATTCACAGGCCATGGAAATATATTAAGATGAAGCAATCTCATTTAATAACACCCAAACTAATAAAAGGAGAGCAGATTGGAAATTACATTTATGAATATTGCTTGGCTGCAGAAGTGATCCTAAAAAAGCCCAGCTTGGTTTGTCATATGTAGATATTTCTCTTTCTAAGCCCAGGTGTAAGAGACATTTCCAACGGTCTCCCCATGAATGTAATGTTAAGGCAGCATGTATGTTTTGGTCATTTCTTCATTTTTACATTATTCAAAATCAGAATAAAAAACCGCTGTGTGATACTTCAGTTGAAGTATTTTGATCAAATAAAACAACATTTACATTTTCATCCTTGATATGGTTACAAATCAGGACCCTCATAGGCCCAACTGCAGTGCAAAAATGAACAATGCAAAACTAAAGTGTGTGTATGTGTGTGTGTGTGTGTGTGTGTGTGTGTTGTGTGTTGTGTGTGTGTGTGTGTGTGTGTGTGTGTGTGTGTGTGTGTGTGTGTGTGTGTGTGTGTGTGTGGTGTGTGTGTAGTGTGTGTGTGTGTGTGTGTGTGGTGTGTGTGGTATGTGTGGTGTGTTGTGTGTGTGTGTGTGTGTGTGTGTGTGTGTGGTGTTGTGTGTGTGTGGTGTGTGTGTTGTGTGTGTGTGTGTGTGTGTGTCATAAATCAAATTGCTGGGAAGCATATTTGTTTTCCCCATGTTGAACTGAGTGTCTACATCCTTGATAAACTTATACCACAAAAGTAATTTGAAACCTACAGTATAACCAAATATATAAAAGCTTTTTGAAAAGCCCATGCCCTTTTTTTTAAAATCTTGAAACACTGTCTTTCTGAGATGGCGTTCATCCAACAGCAGTCATATCACTCAGTGCCAGGGCTCAAATTATGGAATGCCACTTCTTCACTTTACTGACTCCTCGCCTCACACAGACCCGTAATTTCCCCTCTTGTGTCGTTGATGGACAACATAATGTTGGTCAGTGTTTCACTGTTGTGTGCGTGTGTGTGTGTCTGTGTGTCTGTGTACAGCAGCCTTTTGCCAAGACATGCGAGGGCCTGGTCCATCTGTGTGTAAGTGTTGACTCCCGGCGGAGCTCTGACTGTCACTCACCGCCCAGTCAGTGTAGTGCCAGGCATTGATCGCTCCATATATCTTGTTCTGTACTTCCCAAACCTTCATCAACAGATGCGGCTGCAGAATTGATTAGCAGCAAGTCAATGACCAAATCTCTTTGGAAACATTTTTATTTATGTGTGTGTTTATGTGGATAGCTTAGAGGGCCATTAGCGGGATTACCTTTGAGGCTTGGCGGAACAACAGATGTTCAAGGACGACTCAATCAATTTGACTTACAAGAGGCAGCAGTTGCCGGAAACAAGTGATAAGTCTGTGAGACAGGAGGGGGGGTTAAAAAAAAACACTACACTGTGGTAACACACAGGTACAGCATACAAACAGCAGAATTACAACTAAAGTAGGTCCATTATTTAAAGTGAAAGCACTCGAAGGTTCCTAACAACACACAGCTAATGTATTGAAATCCTGACGTTTTTAAACGATCACAAGATTTGGCGGTTCAGCTTTAAGCCCATATAAGTTATTGCTTTTACATGTTCAAGTTATTATTCACCCCACATTTGTTTTGTAGAAACAAAAGTTTTTATTTAAGTAAACACATTCTGAATGACTGTATATCATAGTTATGTGCTTGGGTCTATATTGGAAAGATTTGGCTGACTCTTACACAAACAAAGTTAGTTTGGCCATT